GGGCCTGACAGTGGGGTCAGCCCCTTACCTGGAGGCCCTTCTCTCCAGATGGCCCTTCTCGGCCGGGGTGACCCTGCAGGGACATGCAAGAAGTGAGCCCGGAGCCAGGACGGTGACACTGTCCCGTGGTCCCCGCTCCGCCGGGAACCGGAGTGACCCCACAGCCCCTCGCCGGTACTCCCCGGCGGCCCGTCCGCCCCAGCCACGCCCTGTATTCCTGGCTTCCCCGGCGGGCCCTGGGCGAGAGGAGGATGTGTAGGGACGCAGAGGGACGGGGGACACCCCTGTGGCTCTCCACCACCCGCTCAGAGCTGGGGCAGCTCCGGACACCCCCCATCCACGCTGGGTCCTGACTCACCTTGTCCCCCGGCAGCCCGACGGGGCCCTGGGGGCCGGGAAGACCCTGCGAGAGAACAAACCGGGGTGCTGGGAAGGGACTGAGGGAGCCCTCCAGCCCCCAGCCCCGTGGGGACACCCCCATCACCTCCACGTACCTGAGGACCGGGGTTCCCTTGCTGTCCCGGGGGTCCTGGCTCCCCATGGATTCCCTGGGGGAAGACGGGGGGCGGAGCAGAAAAAGGTCCATCAGCACAGCAGGAAACCAAACCCATGTTTCTCGCTGGCTAATTCGGGCTGGGTGCTCCTGGGGCACCCCGCTGACACCCACCACGTTGCCTTTGGGCCCCGGCGCTCCATCGATGCCGCTGGCACCCTGCGGAGGAAGGAGGGAGGGTCAGGGTGATGCTGCGCCCCAAGGTGATGCCACGCCAAGGACGATGTTGTGCCCAGGCCGGCAGGTGACAGACAAAAATCCCCTTGGCGTGAGGTGGGGACAGACGGACAGACAGACAGGCAGGAGTGGTGTCTCATACCGGTGGGCCCGGGGGCCCGGGGGAGCCGCGTGAGCCGATCAGGCCTCGCATACCCTGGGGCAAGGACAGAAAGGTCAGTGGGGGCTCAGACGGCAGCATGGACCCCAGCACCCCCTATTCCCAAGGGTGAGGGGGTCCAGCACCCCAATCTCTCCTCCAAAAAGCCACAGGGAGGAAGCCGGGGGCCAAGCTTGTCGCCCACTGCTCCTGGGGCTGGGGGAGAAACCTGCGGGCAGCAGGTACTTACGGGTTCCCCAGGTTGCCCCCGAGGTCCTGGGAGGCCGTCCGAGCCCTAGAGAGGACAGAGCAGAGCTGAGCACGTCCCACCAACGCCAGCAGGGCCAGATCCTTCCCCATCCCTCCCCACACTCCTCACCTTGCCACCTTTCTCCCCAGGGGGGCCTGC